TGGGAATGGTACTGATTAATTTTAAGTGAAAATCTACCGAGCCGTTTTCTTGTAATTAACTGTTGAAAAAAAGTGTTAAATTTTCGTCCACATTTGAGCTCATCCTACCGAACCGATTTTAAAAAATCAAAAACTATTCGAAAGATATTAGTTGGGAATGGTACTGATTAATTTTAGGTGAAAATCTACCGAGTCGTTTTCTTGTAATTAACTGTTGAAAAAAAGTGTTAAATTTTCGTCCACATTAAGCTCATCCTACCGAACCGATTTTAAAAATCAAAAACTGTTTGAAAGATATAGTTGGGAATGGTACTGATTAATTTTAGATGAAAATTTACCGAGCCGTTTTCTTGTAATTAACTGTTGAAAAAAAGTGTTAAATTTTCGTCCACATTAAGCTCATCCTACCGAACCGATTTTAAAAAATCAAAAACTGTTCGAAAGATATCAGTTGGGAATGGTACTGATTAATTTTAGGTGAAAATCTACCGAGCCGTTTTCTTGTAATTAACTGTTGAAAAAAAGTGTTAAATTTTCGTCCACATTTAAGCTCATCCTACCGAACCGATTTTAAAAAATCAAAAACTATTCGAAAGATATTAGTTGGGAATGGTACTGATTAATTTTAGGTGAAAATCTACCGAGTCGTTTTCTTGTAATTAACTGTTGAAAAAAGTGTTAAATTTTCGTCCACATTTAAGCTCATCCTACCGAACCGATTTTAAAAAATCAAAAACTGTTCGAAAGATATTAGTTGGGAATGGTACTGATTAATTTTAGGTGAAAATCTACCGAGCCGTTTTCTTGTAATTAACTGTTGAAAAAAAGTGTTAAATTTTCGTCCACATTTAAGCTCATCCTACCGAACCGATTTTAAAAAATCAAAAACTGTTCGAAAGATATTAGTTGGGAATGGTACTGATTAATTTTAGGTGAAAATCTACCGAGCCGTTTTCTTATAATTAACTGTTGAAAAAAAGTGTTAAATTTTCGTCCACATTTAAGCTCATCCTACCGAACCGATTTTAAAAAATCAAAAACTGTTCGAAAGATATTAGTTGGGAATGGTACTGATTAATTTTAGGTGAAAATCTACCGAGCCGTTTTCTTGTAATTAACTGTTGAAAAAAAAATTTAAGCCGATTTTCATGGAACTTTTTTTGGCGATATACATCATGGTCTTATAGAACTTACTGTAATATTTCGGCATTACGACAAGTAGTTTAATTTTAAAAATTCGTCAAACTTTACTAAAATTATTATCGTTTTTTTAAAGTAGGATTGATGAAGTATATTATTTACACACTTTTTTTTGATTAAGTCAATTATTTACACATATCGGGAAGTGCATGTAACTTGCCTCAAGGCTAAATACCAAACCAACTAGTTTATTACTGAGTTAATTATGTTTGTAGGATACGAGTTGTTTTTTAGTGTGCTTATTATTAGGTCAATGTTGGTGTCCCAGAAAATTTTTTATCAGATAGTAGTATGGCATGGTCTGTTAAATTTATTATTGTTGCATTTTTCATTTTAAGAGGGTGGTATGAGTGGTAATTTATGTATCGCTCGGAGCTAGTTGGTTTCTGGTACCAGTGAGTAATTAGTCGGTGGTCATTTGTACGTATTAGTCTGATGTCTAGAAAGCTAATCGAATTCATTGTCTCTAATTCCACAGTAAATTGTAGTTTTTTATTAAAATTGTTAAAATTATCAGTAACTATGTTAATGTCTTCTTCCAGAATACAAGTAATAATATCGTCTACGTAGCGGTAATAAAAGATTTGTTTATTATAATTTTTAAATATTTTGTTTTCTAGTAGTTGCAAGGAAATTTCTACTAATGAGGAAGATGCGGGCTATCCCATTGGGGTGCCCAAAATTTGGTAATGAAAGCATATCTATATATATATATATATATATATATATATATATATTGTGACGGATTAAATGGGGTTGATGCTCCCTTTCCTGGGGTATTGCAACGACTACCAAATATTACATCTAGCGTTGCATCCCCATTAAGAAAGGGTTACACCAACTCCTAAACCCGACTTCTATAACCACCCTGTAATTACCTGTGGAAAAGCCAACTAACTACGCGAATGAAAGAGAATGTACTTCTATCTTATTTAATTATTACTAATTATTATTACAGATCTACGGGCATGGCTGTACCTACGCACAGCCATGTTCTATACTTAAACTCCAACATACGATTATTATTAATTACTATACTAGCGGAGTATAGTATTACAGATATAAAGGAGTATACTAAACGGATAACTTATAACGGATACCGACGGAGGGAATAGCCTTATAAAACAATATTACATCTGACCTTTGCTGGAACGGGTTCTCCCCTCCTGGCACAACACACACACCACTATACACAAAGCGGGTTCAACGCCTGGCGCGTGGACCCACTGACCTCCTCAGAGGATGGTACAATTCTTAATGCTCCGTTTCAACCCCAGACTGGACCTTATATTGCAGGCACCCTAGTAGACGTAGGTGGGGGAGTCCCATTGCACTGGTGGTTATGCAACCCTTTTAACGACAATACCAATTGTCGTTACAATATATATATTTTTTTGTATGATTCTGAATTATATATAATTATATATATATATATATATATATATATATATAAATTAAAAATTACCAGTTTCTTTATTTTCCGTTGCCATTTCGCGATTTTTCTCTTCAAATAATTTCATATATTTTGTACCATATCAGATTCCATTTTTTTCGCCCACCTTTCTTTCCACCATTTCAACATCATTCACCGTCTTCAAAGGAAAGATAGTATCAAAAACATTCGCTTCATTTTTGGGTAATGTACGGTGTTTCAGATTGTTTTGGTCGCTGATGTCCCCTTCCAAGAGCATCAAACGCTTCAGTATTAAATCAAGAGTTGCTAAAATCAAATAAAAATTATAATATGTATATTGTATTAAACAATATGATAATATACCTTGCACTGCAATCATCTAAGGGCAAGTATGTGGGCAGCTTTCTGAAATCAAATTGTTGTAATTAGAAAACCTGTTTAAATTACTAACATGAGCACAGGCTTCTGTTATCAATTACCTTTAGCAGCAACAACATGTTCGTCATGTAACACCTCTATCTCGTCATGCCTTCTTGTAATATCTTAAGGAGCTACAATAAAAACAAAAAATACCATTGAATTTAAAAAATACATTTGATAATGACTAAAATCATTAAGCTTCAGTATTCAATTACTCTCAACAGCACCAACATCTTCTTCCTCAAACACCTCCTCTATCTCGTTCTCCTTTGTTTTATTAGCTGGAGGAGCTATAAAAAAATTACCATTGAATTTGAAAAACACATTTCATTAAGACTAAAATCATTAAGCTCCAGTATTCAATTCAATTACTTTTAATAGCAGCAAAATTCTCTTCCTCAAACACATCCTGTACTCAGCCTCCTTTGTTTTATTAACTTGAAGAGCTGCAATAAAAACAAAAATTACTATTAAATTTGAAAAATACTTACATTTGATAAAAACTAAAAACATTACTTGTAATTGATTCAACCTCCTGACCCTCTGAACGCCTCTTCTCTCTGATTAACTTCGGTGCTACAATGAAAGCAAATAACACTTAATTTGTAACATGTAAAAAGTGAGTAAGTCTATTGCACTACAATTTTACCTGTTATGGCCTCAATCCTTGACTCGATCAATGCTGATAAATCGCCCGCTTTATTCCTCATGCCCTTACCCAGCAGCTCCTCTGATGAGGTGTAATCCTCATCACCAGCAGGCTTGGGTGCTGACTCATAGCTGTCAAAAAGTATTAAAAGATTATTTTTCTTTATTGAATTACAATCTGTCTTTACAAAAAGGAAGGCATTCAGTAATTTCGATGATATATGAAATATTAAACCTTAGATCTAAAAGGTTACCCAGTAGTAAGCCTTTTCAATTTTGATATATTGAATTTAAATACTGTGATTATATAGAGAAAACTTAAAAATAAAATGATCTATGCGGTAAATAATTATAAATTGTGAATTATAACAACAAACAAACTAAACATAATAAAAATAAATAAAAATATAAATGAACAACTAAATAAATAGTACTGGTAATTAGAATGAATATATTATATATTATGTGGAGGTCAATGTGGCGGATCCGTCGAGGGAGCGTTTTCTTTTTTGCCATTCGATGCCGTGCGACTTCAATAAATTCTTGGCCAGAATATTAGGATGGTTTTGTACTCTGCTCTTATATTTTTGACTAATTAATTTAATTTCTTCATCAATAGTGTTTATGTTTAGGTCTTGATGGACTAACCAGTTTAGTGTGTATTTGGGGGTGTTTAGTATTTGTTTCAAAAATTTGTTTTGGAATCTTTGTATAATTGCAATATTAGATTTACGCGCTGTTCCCCAGAGTTGAAGTCCATAAGTCCATATGGGTTTAAAAACTACTTTGTACATCAGCAGTTTATTCCACGTACTTAAGCTCGATTTTCTTTCGAGTTGTTGGCGCTTTTTCAGTATATGGTGTTTCCACGTTAATTTAGAGTCCAAGTGCAACCCCAGATACTTAACGACATTTGCCTGCGGAAGCATTTGATTAAAGAGTTGAACGGTAGGACATGAAGTATTAAAAGATGTACAATGAATTAACACGTTAACTGCCGTGTCACCCATATTCGGGTGACAGCAAAAGTTCTCATCAGGCCACGTCACCCGCATTCGGGTGACAGCGAGAGTTCTCATCAGGCCACGTCACCCGTATTCGGGTGACAGCAAGAGTTCTCATCAGGCCACGTCGGGTGACTCCTTCCAAAGAATTTCCGAACATATTTAGATAAATATATGACAGGAGATAATAATACTGTTGAATTCTTTTAAAAATCGTTTATTAACAAAATTATTTACAGTGCAAAATATTGACTGCAAAGTTGCGGTTGACCAGGGCAGCTTGGACAAAAAGTAGTGGGTTTTCTGAGATTTGGTCATGCCTTTGATCGTTCCAGTTCTTCTCTTTTATTTGCGTAACACCGCTTGCATGCGCGTCTAAGGCTTTTCCCCAAATTATTTCTGCGAACGGCGATGCAATGCGTATTTCGTCGAACAGAAGGCAGTGTTAAATCTTCATTCAGTCCTAGTAACTTTGCAGCAATCAGTTCTCTGAATCGTCTAATATTTACAGTTTTCTTTGTCGCAATTTTGTAAACGACCAAAGCGTTTACAATTGATGTCCCCAGTAGAAGTTCAACATCAAGCTTCCTATACCACTTGATTCCTTTCCTCATCGTCGAAGGATAGGAAACCATTTGGTCTGAATAATCTATATCACATTTACCCTTCTTATATTCGAGGACGGCCAGAGGTTTGAGTCTTGGGGATGGCTGCTGGCTTGAAGAAGCAGCATGAATGTTTTTCGTGCTTTGTGTCATGATAGGAGCGTGTTTCGTAGATAATATTCTCACGTTACGTGTGTCTCTCCATTTGAGTATTACAATCCCGTTATCATCCTCTTTAGCTACCATTTCTCCCCTTCTTAATTTGCAATTAAGAACATCTTTCATATATCTTTCTTCATCTTTCTTCTCTCATATAGATTTCTTGTTATGTCTAAGTGTTCTAACTACATGAGTCTTGCGTCTTAGGCATGATATAGCTAACTCATAACTTGTATAAAAATTGTCAATATAAAATGTTTTTCAACATTCACTTTGTTGAACTGGAGCTTCCTCAGTATCATCAACGTTGCTTTCTTCTTCCACGACCAAATCTCGTAACATCTCGTCAATAGTATCTTCATAATATTCATTATCACTAAGATTGCATTTATCCGATCCGTATAAGAATCTGATGATATGATAGGATTTACTTTTCTTCTTTTGGGCAATCTGATCACTTCCTCATCGCTGCTATCCGAATTTGAGCAACTAGCGTGACTAATCTTCCTTTCACTGCGATATGAATCACTGCACACTGACTTTTTCATCTTTCTCTTCACTATTGAAAAGAGATATTAGTTGTACTACTCAGTACACGGCAAAGATTACAACTGCTCGTGCAGTTGAGGAATAAGGATCGTTGATAAATGAGGATCGTAATAGATATCGGGGTGAGAGTAGCGAAAGAAATGTAAAGAGACATGCGGTAGCAGAGCACGCATCTTACAGTGGCACGGGTGGCCTGACGGGGATTTTGTTGTAAACACGCGTGGCAGTCAACGTGTTAAAGAAGATGATTGCTTTTACTCTTACAGTTAGTCTTTTTTTTGTTAGTAAATAATATTCTCACCATAAAACCCAACTAATTTTATTGATACTTGTATATCATGGCTCTGCACGTTTCATTATTGAACCGGTAGGGTTTTTTCTGAAAGGCCACCAGCACTTGTTGTACGAACCATCAATGCCAATAATCAACCATTTACTCGGAATCTCCGTGTAGAAGTTAGATTTGTCAACAATGGCAGCAAATGGTTTTATTCTACAAATAAAACAGTGAAAGCATAGGTATCTAATATTATATATTCTGGAATCACGAAGTTTTTAATTAACTTACCCCAACTGACGATTCGTACTATTAAGTTTAACTCACAATAACTGCACACGATAAATAAATCTCAACTAACCTTCACTCCGGGATGCGTCACAAAGAATGTATTATTTACACTGCTTCAAACCGTGTTGTTTTGGCGTGAACTTGCTTATGTTTGTGCATGTCTACCAACCTTAGGTAACATGTAGTGAAACAACTATTAAAAGCAGAAGTGATTTAAATTTAAATCAAGAGTTTTCCAGTAATATACCGGACAAAAACATCAGAAATAGAGAAGATTGCAATTAAATTATATTCTATAAGTAATATAACTTCAAATAACTGTTGTATAACAACCGAGAATAAAATAGTTTTAATAAATAAAATTTGTGATGTTATGTTCGGAAGCGACGATGACAAAACCATTATTTTCAAAACCATTTTACTCAAAACTATTTAATATTCATGTTTTTGACCCAAAAATTATGAATAATGTGACAATATCTGTGAAGGAAATAAAACAAAAATGTGTAATTGTGCCATATGCAACTGAGTCCAATTATCCTTTACTGCAACAGTAATTTGTATTTTTGGAAGTAAAGTTCTTAAGCTTTAAGTAAATATATTTATAAATAAATAAATAATGTTAATGAAAGTAAATATATAGGTTTATAAATGTATTAAATCTTTCAAAGTTTTTCAAAAATTCTCAAATCATCTGTAGGTTTCAAATTGTTAAAACTGTTGATACTATTGAAAAATTAGTTGGGAGTAGAATTTTGCCTCGAGGGAAGTTGCTTGAACTTTGCGGCATATGTAAATAATCGACTTTAGTAAGACATTATTATATTAATTTGTGACCGATTTATAAGTAAACTCATTTGCTGTAGAGCAGTGGTTCCCAACCTGGGAGTAATTACCCCCGCAGGGGTAAAACGGAGATTCTAGAGAGGTAACAAGGAATGGCACGAAATAGTATTAAAATAGCAGTAAACAAAATAATAGTACGGTAAACGAAATAAAGGAAAGTCCTATGTTTGCGCTGCAAGTGGACGAGTTCACAGAAGTTAATTCGTGTTTACAATTATTGATGTTTACACGATACTTTAAAGATGACGATGTAAAGGAGGAATATTTGTTCTGCAAGTCTTTGTCTACTACTACCCGCGGCGAAGACGTATTTCAAACCCTAAAAGAGTTTATTGAGGAAAATTGCCTGATACACCATTTCGCTTTGGCTGTGAAAACGCTTTCACCAGATTTGCTAAACACGTTGTAAAAATTGTTAATCATATTCGAGGCAGCGCTACTACTCAAGATTATTCAAAGTTTTATGCGATGTAGTTGGAGCTATATTTAATGCTCTTTTGTACCATACAGACAGGACCGGTCGTGGCGTCCTTAGCGCCTGCATGCAACTTTTTTTCTAGCGCTCGCCTCCCCCTATTAATTCTAAATGTTTTAACAGTTTGTCATTGAAATTATATAAATATTTACATAATTTTTAATAATTAATTTTTAATTATTCTGGATTCAGTATACAAAAAATTAGATATAATCTAAAAGCGTATAAAATACATTGATTTTAAATTTATTTAGAAAATCGAGGAAATTCGCGGGTTGATTATATAATCAAATATTTTTCTTATTTATTATGCAATTTATTCTATTGAACAACTCATGCCAAGAGTGTTAAAAAAACTAGATTATCATTTTCAATCATAATACTCGTATTTCATGTTGGATTTTATAAAGCAAAGTTGCAAGTAGGGTTTACGAGTTGCGAGAAGAAATTGGATTGTTTCTTGAAAATCAGAGAACACAAAAAGAAGAAGAATATTTTGCAAACATTAAAGACCAAACATTTGTTCTATAAATGGAGATGGATAATAAACATATTTTCGTTCAAATTTGTGTATTTTAAATTAGTTAGGGGTTAACTCAATTGCCATACTTGTTTACAGGGGTAGTGACATTGAAAAGGTTAGGAACCACTGATGTAGAGCATCAAAATGTGAGGAAATTTTTCAGTTTAACCACTTTATACTTTACAAATACCTATTCCAAATTTGGTCTCATTCTACCCGGAATGACTAGCAACGTTGAAAAAACTTAAAATCTTACCGAAGCAGGTAAGTTAAAAATGAGATCAATCGACTTTGTAACTCCCGATATAATACATTGCGCGTATATTGCATTTAGTTATCATTTGTTATGTATCTTTGCAAGTAACAAGTTTCATTACGGAAACTTGTAGTGTTCACTGGGTAGTGGTACAAACTACAAGCTATTGGAGACGTGGCCAGTTTAAGTTCAGTTTTTCAATTCAATATCTGACTTCGTAATGCAAATATATCTTGAAAAACTTTTTTGCAATTGTTTTGTTGAAAATGAATTATTAGGGTATTATGGAATAAAATAAAATAAGAAAATGTACGAAAAACATAACCTGAAAAATGGTAACTATCTAATAAATTATAAATTATATTTAATTTGAATAATATTGTATCTTGTGTTTTCCTTTGGTAGAGTTTTGCATGGCAATCGATCACATAAAAGCATAACTCGTGTTCCAGAAAATCGAGAAAATGATTTGCGATTGTTTTTTTTCTTAATTTATAAATATACTTAAATGTGCCACTATTTGAGCTTTCACTTACGGATACTCTCGGATATTAAATAGTTTAGTTGTATTTGCTACTATTTGAACATTCTTATTTTATTTGTTTATGAGTTTCTTGTTGAACAAAAATTAATCTTAAAGATCTGCGCATCATTTCATGTACAAAAAACTATTCAAATTAAGTATTGTATTGTTGATGTAAAGTGTCGGTAGTTTTCTTAAATTATGTTTTTTATATTAAATATGTGTTGTCTTTGAATATGTAAAATTTGTTCAAATGTATAGGATTTGGATAGAAATTTTAATTTCTGAATGCTAACAAAACAAATTGGGAAATATAAAGTAACAGGAGAAATATAAGATTGTGGTGATAGTAGTGTTATAAATAAAATAATATGGTAATAATGAAAAATTACGTCTATGAAACAAAATATAATGGATTATTGAATTAAAGTAAAAACGCTGTTATTAATTATATCAAAACAGTTAAGAAAAGAATTTATAGATATAATTATCTTAATTTATCAGCAATAGATCGTGAAAGTGGGTTAATACTAATAACGACTGATAATATCATGATATCAAATTACTATTTTATAGCCTCCACATGAAGAACAAATAAGTATTATTGGAAGTGAAACAATTTAAATGTTTAGTCATATTATTTCAATGCGAAACAAAGTCTTAATATGATATAAAGCAAATGATGTAGAAGCATAGTTTTGCTTCTACATGAAATAACATGAATCTAAAACATGTCATGAAAAAAGTCAAACTTAGCGCAGACAAATATGCACATAATATGAGAAGTTCATGATAATATACGATATTTGTACAATTTACAACAATATATGTATATAATAATTATGATTCAAATATCAAATAAGATGGGATCAGAACATTAATCTTGGGATTTTTAAAATTTTGGACTATTCGTTTAGAATACCCAGATTCAGATGCGATAATGCCCAGAGGAAACGGATTTTTAATGACCATTGTGATACTACCAATACTAATAATTGGATTGATACACCAGACTGACGACTGTCTTGAAACATCTGTTTTGTAGAAAATTTTGCGAAGCTTTCAATCTAGTCAAAGACCTTCAAATTTATCTTACTGATTGTGAAAATAGTTTTTGACCAAATAGAAAGAGCATAGGCATTAAAGATTATTGATTTTCATGCATTAACACCACGTGTTAAAAAAGTGGTAGTCTTAGTTTAGTCGGCGGAATTTTAACACATCCAATGGATTTTGAGGTATTCTATATCGGTGACAATCACAATCAAAAATATTAGCTAAAATGAAATTGGCTTCCATACATAATTATTTAACCATGGATCAAGTGGTATAATTTATTGGCAAACG